GCATAAGGTTCTTAATAGTCCCTGAAAAAGTGTTACTACTATACGATATGCATACAATATTTCTTATAAACATTGGGATCTTTTAAAAGGAGATAAACTGTATATTTTATTTTAGATTATATGACTGCAGAAGAGAATGGCATGCGCAAATGCAAGATAATTGTAGACTTTATCTAGCAGTGCAGTTCATTTATGAAAATCTTTTTCAAGTGAGAGAAAATAAAGCTGTGGAAAAAGAGCATTTGTCAACTTATCTTTTATATATCTTACGTAATTGCTATCTATCTCTTCTGTTATATAAATTTCTTCTTTTAGAATTGATAAATGATGAGGAAAGACAATTGCCAATTACAAGTAGTCAACCTAGATGTTTTTTACGGTGCAACAGCAAATTATTCAGCAAGATAAATAAATAACCCTAACAGCTGCTGTAGCTCAGACAGGCTAAAATATAATGCACTTTCAGCTACAGGGAACTTAGGTACATGAATTTAATGATCAGTCAAATTTATTTGATGTTTATACAGTAAGTTATCGGTACCGGGCTGTCGTATGATTTTGTAAATTTTTGTAAATGCTTTTGAAACTTGATTCAAGTAAATGTATAACAAATAGTATTGGTAATGATAACAGCAGTATGATTTGAATAATAATGATCATCATGATAATGATAATAATGATAAGAATACTGGCGATAATAACAATAACAACAAAAGCAACAAGGAAGTGATCATTTTGTTGATGAAGACATATATGTTTAGAAAGTTTAAAGTAATTAAATTAACTCAAAATGTTTCATACATTGCAGTATGTACTAATTTTCTTGGAAAAAAAAAAATGTTGTTGTTTATTCAACTGGAACACGTAACTTTCTTTATTTATATCTTTTAAATATTTATTAACGCAGGTTCATTATAAAGTTCACAAACATCGCTTTTTCTAACGTATTGTGTTTCTAATCTTGTTCTACTGTTGCTGGTGTTACAGTTTTTTTTTTTTTTTATTTACTTGTACTCAGTGACTGCATGTGCCTCTGAGACTTTTTTTTTCATAATAAGTGCAATGTCATCCTAAATGATCTCTCTCTCTCTCTCACTCACTCACTTGTGTGTGTGTGTGTGTGTGTCTTTGTGTGTGTGTGTGTGTGTGTGTGTGTGTGTGTGTGTGTATGTGTTTGTGTATGTAGACATATAGACATACATATATATCTATTTATCTATATATGTGTGTGTGTGTGTTGTGTGTGTTTGTGTGCTTACATACCTACATATACACATGCACATATTTATATTTATATATCTATATCTATCTATCTATATATACATATATGCGTGTGTGGGCGTGTGTGTGTGAGTGTATATATATATACATACACACATGTGTGTGTATGTGTGTGTGTATTCTAACACATCTCCTTAAGCTAAATGTCAGAAAAATACCATCAAGAACATAGAACATGAAGAATGAAGGACGAGAAAAACAAAATACAAAAACCATTACATATAAGAAAGTTTCCAACACCGTAAAGTCTTGAAAAAAACTAGAATCACGAAAAAATAATCAACCTTCAAGGCAAAGATACATTATACTAGGCCTATATAAAAGTGCACGGCCTATCTCTTACGGCACATTACTCCTCGGCATTATTACTAGATCACTGAAGACATGATCTCTAGAAGCCTATTGGTAATAATAATAAAATACTTGACGTTTTCTTTCAGCTTATTAGACTTTATTCTCTTTGTATTTCTCAGCGCGCGTGTGTGTGTGTTTTCGTCTGTGTGTATCTGCTTCTTGTGTATGTGTGTTTTGGCGTAATTGGTAAGAGATTGGATCTCTTTGCAATATGCTAAGGAATGCATTAATGAGTCTGTAATGAATTCGAGATGGAAAGCCTTTGTTTTAAAGTCGATGAATAGACAGATGATTAGACAGGTAGATAGGTAGGTAGATTGATAGATGGATTGATAAGGAGAGAGAAGGATCGAGAGAGAGAGAGAAGAGAAGAGAAGAGAAAGGGGGCAGATAGACAGAGGAAAGAATTAATGAATAATCTTCCTTTTTCATTGTTAGGATACATCTGATCTCTTGAAAGAGAGAGAGAGAGAGAGAGAGAGAGAGAGAGAGAGAGAGAGAGAGAGAGAGAGAGAGAGAGAGAGAGAGAGAGAGAGAGAGATGTAGACAAACTAATTCATAAATATTTTGCTATTTTTTCAGTGTTCACATCAATCTCATGTCTTACAGGTTGTGATGGTGGCCGTGATGGCGATAGTGTACGTTGCTGCGGCTGGAGGAGGATACGGTAGTGGTGGAGGAGGCGGTGGAGGCGGAGGAAGAGGTGGTGGTGGAGGAAGAGGAGGTGGAGGAGGAAGAGGAGGTGGAGGAGGATTTGGTGGAGGACAGGGTGGAGGGTCAGCAGGAGGCGGATTTGGAAGAGGTGTTGGTGGAGGAAGTGGTGGATTTGGCGGAGGAGGAGGAGCTGGCGGATTCGGTGGGGGCAATGCACTTGGCGGCGGCGGCGGTGGAGGAGGATACGGCGGAGGTCGCGGCGGTGGCGGTGGAGGCGGAAGTGTGCTCCCCGCAGTTTTTCTTGGAAGTGGACAGCTCTCCGCCGGTGGAGGCGGTGGATTCGGAGGTGGTGGCAGTGGAGCCGGTGGATTCGGAGGTGGTGGCAGTGGAGGCGCTGGATTCGGAGGCAGCGGCGGCTCGGCTGGTGGATTCAGTGGTAGCGGTTTTGGCAGCGGCAGTGGAAGCAGTGGTTTTGGAGGCAGCGGCTTTGGCAGCGGTGGAGGAGGCAGCGGCTTTGGCAGCGGTGGAGGAGGCAGCGGCTTTGGCAGCGGTGGCGGAGGAGGTGGCGGCCGTGGAGGCGGTGGCTATGGGAAATAAAGTTACGCGCCCGGATGTAAGTCTTCCTGACTGAGAAAAATAAAATGAATGTAAACCAAAGGCGTTTTTACTTACTGTTTACAATGTTCACGCTATAAATTGTATTTTCTTACACATACTGTATATCTACGCCAAAACACACATACACAAGAAGCAGATACACACAGACGAAAACACACACACGCGCGCTGAGAAATACAAAGTGAATGAAGTCTAATAAGCTGAAAGAAAACGTCAAGTATTTTATTATTTCGTAGTGTTATATGTGCATAAAAGCTAAAGGTATATTCCCATGGTAACGAGAAAAACAAACAAACAAACAAAAATCAAATAAACAAAGAAAGGAATAAATGTGTCTATAATGTATTTGCTACTGTGACAGTTTTTCTTAAAAAAAAAGTTTTGAAAAATTGATCCAAGTAGAATGTAAACTAAAGTTCTTTAGCGAGAAAATGTAATTAAAAAAAAACTTCACATCATAGATACATTTTAGCGATAAAAAAAAGGAATGGACTATCCGTGTATATATATACATATGTGTGTGTGTGTGTGTGTATGCATATATATGATTGTATACATATATATCTTTATATATATCTATATATGTATATTCGTATGTATAAAAACACACACGTATGTGCATATACATAAATACATATATATATGTATATGTATATATATATATATATATATATATATATATATATTATGTACTGATGTCAGTATGTAAAACGAATATCTCTGCATATGTGTTGAAAACTGCGGATGTTTGTAAGGAGTACATTGTATTGATTACACAGTCATCGCATGTTTTTAGGAATATTGATTTTTAAGAACATTAGGGAAAAACGCATTTCTGTTTTATATCTAATACTAAAAATAAAGATAAAAACATAAATGAATATGGTTTGAAAAAATATTTATCTATCTGTCTCTATACATATGTATGTTTACATATATAAACATACATATCTGTTTATCTCTCTCTCTCTATGTATATATGTATATACATATATATATATATATACATATATATATATATATATATATATATATATATATATATGATTACATATATGTATGTTTATTCATATATGTATATATATGTACATATATATATGTATGCATGTATGCATACACACACACACACACACACACACACACATATATATATATATATATATACATACATGATATATATATATATATATATATATATATATATATATATATATGTATATATATATGTATATATATATGTATATGTATACATACATGATATACATATATATATATATATATATATATATATATATAATGTATATATATATGTGTGTGTATATGTATATTTATATATGAATATATTGAGAAAGAGAGCACGAGAGACAGAGAGAGAGGGAGAAAGAACGAGAGAGCAGGAAAATAGAAAGTGAGAGTGGAGAAAGGGAAGGACATGTAACATTAAAGCATGTTTCGTCTTTATACTTCATGGATGACGTCTCTGATGTTATGTGTTGTTATAAAAGGTCAGTTTTCCCATTGGTCTACAAAAACAATAATACATTTTTATTTCTGTTCTTATTGATTAGATTTAGTAATGCTTATAATTCGCAAAGAATATGAAACCTAGATTTTGAAAACTGTCAATCTTTTTTTATTTGTTTTTTTTTGTGAGATAAATACACTGACGCAAAGAATATCTACATAACGGCAAATCGCAAACATACAATTTCGATACTGCATGACGTGCACCTTTATTTCAAAGTATAGAAAAAAAGAAAAAAAAAAAGAAAAAAAAAAAAGAAACATGCTAGACAAAAGCACACTGAGAGTATGCCCTGCCTTGTATAAATATGAGGACAACTGCATCAGTGCCACACTCTTACCTCTGCCTTTGTTCCTTTAACAGTAGGACAGGAAATCGGAGAATGATTTTAAAACGCCCATTGGTGAGGAAGCAAGTGTGTCTGTTCAAAAAGAAAAGTTAATTCGAGTTTGAAGAAGTCTAATTAATAATCAGGACTAGTTTTATTATGAGATGTATAGGGTCTATCATTAATAGAATAGTGAATGTTTAAAGAGAATTAAATACTTTCAGGTAGTGATAGTGGCCGTGATGGCGATGGTGTACGTTGCTGCAGCTGGAGGAGGATATGGTAGTGGTGGAGGAGGCGGTGGAGGCGGAGGAAGAGGTGGTGGAGGAGGAAGAGGAGGTGGAGGAGGAAGAGGAGGTGGAGGAGGATTTGGTGGAGGAGGAAGAGGAGGTGGAGGAGGAAGAGGAGGTGGAGGAGGATTTGGTGGAGGTGCTGGTGGAGTAAGTGGTGGATTTGGCGGAGCAGGAGGAGCTGGCGGATTCGGTGGGGGCAATGCACTTGGCGGCGGCGGCAGCGGTGGAGGAGGAGGTTACGGCGGAGGTCGCGGCGGTGGCGGTGGAGGCGGAAGTGTGCTCCCCGCAGTTTTCCTTGGAAGTGGACAGCTCTCCGCCGGTGGAGGCGGTGGATTCGGAGGTGGTGGCAGTGGAGGCGGTGGATTCGGAGGCGGTGGCAGTGGAGGCGGTGGATTCGGAGGTAGCGGTGGATTCGGAGGCAGCGGCGGCTCGGCTGGTGGATTCGGAGGCAGCGGTTTTGGCAGCGGCAGTGGAAGCAGTGGTTTTGGAGGAAGCGGCTTTGGCAGCGGTGGAGGAGGCAGCGGCTTTGGCAGCGGTGGAGGAGGCAGCGGCTTTGGCAGCGGTGGAGGAGGCAGCGGCTTTGGCAGCGGTGGAGGAGGCAGCGGCTTTGGCAGCGGTGGCGGAGGAGGTGGCGGCCGTGGAGGCGGTGGCTATGGGAAATAAAGTTACGCGCCCGGATGTAAGTCTTCCTGACTGAGAAAAATAAAATGAATGTAAACCAAAGGCGTTTTTACTTACTGTTTACAGTGTTCACGCTATAAATTGTATTTTCTTACACATATTGTATATCTACGCCAAAACACACATACACAAGAAGCAGATACACACAGACGAAAACACACACACACGCGCGCTGAGAAATACAAAGAGAATGAAGTCTAATAAGCTGAAAGAAAACGTATTTTATTATTTCGTAGTGTTATATGTGCATAAAAGCTAAAGGTATATTCCCATGGTAACGAGAAAAACAAACAAACAAACAAAAATCAAATAAACAAAGAAAGGAATAAATGTGTCTATAATGTATTTGCTACTGTGACAGTTTTTCTTAAAAAAAAAGTTTTGAAAAATTGATCCAAGTAGAATGTAAACTAAAGTTCTTTAGCGAGAAAATGTAATTAAAAAAAAACTTCTTCACATCATAGATACATTTTAGCGATAAAAAAAAGGAATGGACTATCCGTGTATATATATACATATGTGTGTGTGTGTGTGTATGCATATATATGATTGTATACATATATATCTTTATATATATCTATATATGTATATTCGTATGTATAAACACACACGTATGTGCATATACATAAATACATATATATATGTATATATATATGTGTGTTTTATGTACTGATGTCAGTATGTAAAACGAATATCTCTGTATATGTGTTGAAAACTGCGGATGTTTGTAAGAAGTACATTGTATTGATTACACAGTCATCGCATGTTTTTAGGAATATTGATTTTTAAGAACATTAGGGAAAAACGCATTTCTGTTTTATATCTAATACTAAAAATAAAGATAAAAACATAAATGAATATGGTTTGAAAAAATATTTATCTATCTGTCTCTATACATATGTATGTTTACATATATAAACATACATATCTGTTTATCTCTCTCTCTCTATGTATATATGTATATACATACATATATATATATATACATATATATATATATATATACATATATATATATATATATATATATATATATATATGTACATATATATATGTATGCATGTATGTATACACACACACACACACACACACACACACACACACACATATATATATATATATATATATACATACATGATATACATATATATATATATATATCTATATCTATATATATATATATGTATATATATATGTGTGTGTATATGTCTATTTATATATGAATATATTGAGAAAGAGAGCACGAAAGACAGAGAGAGAGAGAGAAAGAACGAGAGAGCAGGAAAATAGAAAGTGAGAGTGGAGAAAGGGAGGGACACGTAACATTAAAGCATGTTTCGTCTTTATACTTCATGGATGACGTCTCTCATGTTATGTGTTGATATAAAAGGTCAGTTTTCCGATTGGTCTACAAAAACAATAATACATTTTTATTTCTGTTCTTATTGATTAGATTTAGTAATGCTTATAATTCGCAAAGAATATGAAACCTAGATTTTGAAAACTGTCAATCTTTTTTATTTGTTTTTTTTGTGAGATAAATACACTGACGCAAAGAATATCTACATAACGGCAAATCGCAAACATACAATTTCGATACTGCATGACATGCACCTTTATTTCAAAGTATAAAAAAAAAAAAAAAAAAAAAAAGAAAAAAGAAAAAAGAAACATGCTAGACAAAAGCACACTGAGAGTATGCCCTGCCTTGTATAAATATGAGGACAACTGCATCAGTGCCACACTCTTACCTCTGCCTTTGTTCC